GCAGGCAGCGGAGCGAGGCTTCGGGAGCGCCACCAGGACAGGCGAGGACCGTCCACGCAGAGTGGTGGTCCTGCTCACCGAGTCACGCTCCCAGGATGAAGTGGCTGGCCCGGCGCATCATGCGAGGGCCCGAGAGCTGCTTCTGTTGGCTGTGGGCAGCGAGGCCGTGCGGGCAGAGCTGGAGGAGGTCACGGGCAGCCCAAAGCACGTGATGGCCTACACTGGCCCACAGGACCTGTTCAACAAAATCCCAGAGCTGCAGAGGAAGCTGTGCAGCCGACTGCGGCCAGGTGAGCTCCCCTGCCTGTACCAGCTGTGGACTAGCCTGCCATGGCCAGGGCAGTGGGCAGGCCTGCAGTGGGCAGGCCTGTCCTCCCCACCCAAGGCCTGCACTAGGGGCTGGAACCACGTGCCACGTAACTTCAGTGTAGTAGTCAATAAAATGAGACTAATTGTAGCACGTCCCCAAGGGCATTTGTGAGGCTTAAAACATGTACACTGTACAGAGTATGTACTCAGAAAATCATGGGTGTTGCTGTTAGTTGCGTTACTAATTCTTGTTAACAAGGAGCTCTGAGGGTACAGCATGCTCTAGAAAAGGTGCTTTCCAGCATCTTTTTGGCAGTCCACAGAAAGATGCATTCCCAGTACATGCATGCATGTGTGCACACACTCACACGTGTGGAACATTTTATGAAAAACTTTTTTTTGCACCTGGGATGCATTCTGACTGCATTGTGACGTGTGCAACCATAAAATTGATCTCATGACCCACCACTGGAGGGTGCTTGGGAGAACACTGCCCCTGGGATTAGCCATTCCCATGGGTGGGCAGGTGCCTGGCCTGTGGCCCGAGATGGCCTGGCATAGCTGAAGGGTCCCCATTTCTTCTCCATGGAGGTGGGAGGTGGGTATCATATCTGATGGGAATTCATGTCCATCCCAGCAGGGAGGCCAGGGGTGTGGTCAGCTGAGCATTTGTATGTCCTGTCAGTATTCTAGGGGCGGGGGAGTACTGGAGCTACAGCGGACAGACAGCAGATGAGCAGCTGTGGGCTCTTCCTAACCCAGAGTAGCCCCCACTTTGCTGTCTGGAGCTGCCCCCCCAAGGCCCACCCTCTTTGCTCCCACAGGCTGCAGGACACAGTCGCTGGACCTGGTCTTCATGTTGGACGCGTCGGCCTCAGTGGGCCCCGAAAACTTTGCACAGATGCAGAGCTTTGTGAGAAGCTGTGCCCTCCAGTTTGACGTGAACCCTGACGTGATGCAGATCGGCCTGGTGGTGTACGGCAGCCTGGTCCAGACGGCCTTCGGGCTGGACGCCCACCTGACCCGTGCAGCGGTGCTGCGGGCCATGAGCCAGGCCCCCTACCTGGGCGGGGCGGGCTCGGTGGGCACAGCCTTGCTGCACATCCACGACAAGGTGATGACTGTCCAGAGGGGTGCCCGGCCTGGGGTCCCCAAGGCCGTGGTGGTGCTCACAGGGGGGACAGGTGTGGAGGATGCAGCTGGCCCTGCCCAGAAGCTGAGGAACAACGGTGTCTCTCTCTTGGTGGTGGGTGTGGGGCCTGTCCTGAGGGGGGAGCTGCGGAGGCTTGCAGGCCCCCAAGATGCCCTGATCCACGTGGCTGCCTACGAGGACCTGCGGTTCCACCAGGACGCGCTCATCGAGTGGCTGTGTGCAGGTGCGTGGGGAATCCACACCCCCAGGGCTGCCTCCAGGGACCAGTGCCCGGGCCTCACATACATCAGGACAAGGACAGCAGCTCCTCCCAGCTGCTGGGGGTGCTTTCTACATGCCGGGTTCTGTGCCGACCCCCGCATGCATGGGAAACGCTGCAGGGCACACACTGTCTCCATTTGACATCCAGGGTGCAGAGAATATCAGGCACACAAATTTAAGAATTATGTGCTTTGTTTGAACAGACGCCACTGTTAGGACGCCCATAGATCCCCAAGGGTCTGAGGACCCCAGGTTGACACTGACCTGGCTTGTGGAGGTCAGAGCTAGGAGCAGACACAGCCAGGCCAGTCTGACTCCCCGGCTCTTGCTGGTGACCTTTCTGCCTCTTAAAAGCATGTGGCTGTAATAACGTTAAATAGAGTACATCTAAGACTCCTCATACACCTTGGAGATCTGGGTGGAAGTTGGGTCCCCTTAACCTGCCCAAACCGTCTGAAGCAGCAGCCGTGTGCTGACCTACTGCCCGAGGGCCCAAGGAAGCCCTGCTCGTGGCTTCCCATCTGGCTGGGCTTCCTTGGAGGAGGCTCTTGAGGCTGGCTGTGGCGGGGCCTGGTGGACACATTCTCCCTCGTAGAAGCCAAGCGGCCGGTGAGCCTCTGCAAGCCCAGCCCGTGCATGAACCAGGGCGCCTGCATCCTGCAGATGGGGAGCTACCGCTGCGAGTGCCGGGCGGGCTGGGAGGGCCCGCACTGTGAGAACCGTAAGTGGGGCTCTCGCTCGGCTCGCGTTAGCGGGGGTGGTATTTGGAGCCTATCCAGCCATGACCCTGGAGTGAAGCAGGTTCTAGGCCTGTGAGTGTTTCTATTTGTTCAGTGAATGGCGATCAGCGAGGGTGAGGAGAGGGGGACCTGTCGAGGGAGGGAGGGAGTACACCGAGCCTGTAGCACAGTGCTGGGCAGCATTACAGGCCCACCTGCAGTCCTGTTCACAGTCTTAAAATTGGAACAGCCGGCCACCAGACAACAGCTCCGACGCAGTTGGGTTTGCCCGCCCCACGGCAGAGGTGGACTTCCAGGGAGCAGGTCTGCAGGCTCTTCAGCGTGAGCTGTGGAGTCAGTGAGCCTGAAGGCCCCGTCCTGCTGGTGGGCTGCCAAGGGCACTTGCCCCTTCTAATCCTCAGAGTTCTCTTCTTTCCCAGGGTCCTTGAGAGGAGATGCCCCCAAGGTACATGGCTCCCACCAAGAGCCTGCAGATGGACAGCCACACCCCTCCCGGCATCTGCAGAGGCCACCTGGGCACTGAAGGGCCACTGCCCTCTGCCCGGTGTCTGCTTCCAGCTGGGTCCAGAGCCAGCCCACCCACTTCCCTCACCAGCGCTGCTCGGGGCACAGCAGCAGCTGACCTCACCCAGTAATGATGTTGAAAAACGCTTGTAAGTAAATATCTACTCCTGTACCTGGCTGTGCGCTACTGACTTGATGTCTCTCCACCTTCCTCCTGGGAGCGGCGAAGGGGCTAGAACCTTGTGTTGGCCACTTTGTGCACGACGTGTGCTGAAGAGCCTCGTTGGGATGGTAACGCTGCCATGGCATAATGTGGACAAGTGGGGACTCAGATGTCCCGGATGTATTTGTTCTTAGTGTGAAATGGGCTTGAGCAGCTGGTGATGTGTGTGGGGGAGACTTGGAAAGGGCCCAGGCAGGAATGTTAACCAGCTGGTTTGCATACCCAGCCCCAGTCTCTGGGGACCTGGGAAGCTGGCCTGGGTCCTGGGTAACATTCCTCCTAGAGGGGCTTCCTTTTAAGTTGACTTAGGAGGGCCTACTTGGGAAGGTTTCTCGAGTGCTTTTTTTAATCTCCTCCTCATGTGGCAAGAGGAGTAGAATCTTAAAGTCAACAAATGAAGAATAAAGAACTTAGAGGGCTTTGCTGGTTTTAAGCACAGATGTAGCTGATGCTGTGTAGGGTTTTGCTTTTTACATAAAGCTTTTAAAGGGGTATTTCAAGAAATGTTGGCTATCTGTTTAACAGGAGTGCTTGTGTATGTGTGGCAAAGAGGTTTATTTGGAATCTTTTCTGGCAAACTAGGTCCTTACTCCCCACCTGCAGTTCTTAGGAATCAATTCGCCGCCGCGGTTTGTGCTGTTTCCAATTGGGATTTTCATTAGAACGTTTGTAGAATTTTGACCTAAATCCAGACTTTATCATTGCTTTTAATATAAAGAATGGGTTATATGCAAACCTTTAAATTTATTTTGATTTAAATACCAGTTTTAAGAACTGCAGGACTTCTAGGGGAAGTACTTGAAGAGGTTATCACTATGTGGTGTTCGATATTAAAAATATAAAGTCCATGTAAAAAAAATCACTATCATGTGCAAGGGCTATTTCTGAAATTCCTGTTGTGACACTAGCTGTGGCAGAGGCGACATTACCCCCCCCCCCAGCAGGAGGCAATAGGTGATGTGGGAGAACCTATATTAATTCATTATCTCTAATAGCAGTTTAATCATTTTATAACACACGATCTTGGGACATCCATTTCAGCAAATTGAATTGCTGGAACATTAAGGGGAAAAACTGTTTTTACCTTGAAACTGTATTTACCTTTTCTAGTCAAAGTGCTGCCAAATCAGCCATGCCTTTTTTTTTTAAACATAGAAGAATTATCTTCTCCTTTAAAAATTCAAACATCCCAGGTAGGTCATGAATCTTTCATTTTCTGTTTCTGATTCCAGATGACTTGCTGAATACTCTAGATTCTGTTGGCTTTTCTAGAAAGATTTTCAAATTAAGTTTTATACTGCTTTTTCGGTAACAGCTTGCAGTTGGCTCTAGACTTGTACTTTTTCATCATTATTTTATGGGGAGTACTCTAAGTTTTGTGGCATAATTTCCCATTTCCTTCGAGGCGTTGCTATGATAAATTATCGTATACTAGTATGTTTTCAGTTGTTGAACATCCTGGGACAAATGCTATCCAGTCATGATTCCTGAATCTAATTTGCCCATTTTTTGGAAACTGCATGTTCTGTAGAGCACTTTGTCATTTAAAAATTCTGTTTTTGCCTAGGCAACCTTTCAAGTATCAGTATGTATTTTTCTTCACTTACAAATAAGAGCAGTTTATATAAATATTTCCTATGTATTTGATACACTGTTAACTATACTATTAATTTAAGAAACCTTAACTCAAGTAGCACAGGCAAGGCTGACATTCTTTTGCTAAAATGTCACCCTGTAGTTCTATCAGTTTTACTGCATGTCAGTGGTAAATAATCAAGATGTTGCTTCCCCCATGTATTTATGAAATACAAGGAAAACCCAAAATACAATTAACATTTTATTAAAAAATTAACTCACCATCAGGGGTTTATGACAAAGGAAATAAATGCCCTGGGATTAGACAATAAGAAAAAAATCTTTAGTTCTCAGACCCAGTGTGAAGGAATGCTGAGAACCCCCAGAGATAGGGGCAGAGATAGTAGATGAAATGTTTCAACCTGTGTTAAAAAACAATGCCATTAGAAGACAGGGGCAGAAGAAACCAAATTTGACCATTTTTGCTTAGAAGGGACGGACCTAGACATTAAGCACGAGTTAAAAAAAAACAAACAGGGAATAAGAGCATTATATTAAATTGCTCTTTCCTTAAAAATGGTCTGGCCATAGGGCTGGATCTGTAAACATCATGCTCTCCCCCCCCACCCTACCCCGCCCCAGGTAAGATACAAAGTCAGTTAAATCTCAAGATACTTTAAACTGTCCTAAATTACATGATTTTAAACACTTTAATATAATGTAACAACATCACTTAAAATTTTATTAAACAGTTGATTCACGCCTGCTTTCGGCTAAAAAAGTCCTTAACTTAGTGCCACTGCTTGGTCCCAAATATTTTCCTATGACCACTTTTCAAAACTTGTCATTGATGGCTTCACACAGGTGCCAGCAATGCTGTTGATGACCGTGGAAGAGGAGTTGGTCCTCCAAACCTTGGGGAAAATTAAACTCGAAGGCTGAGTCGTAGACAAGAGATGAGTCAGGATTTTTAGTTCTCCTTGGCCACTAAAGCCTTGTGGCCAGTGGACTAGGGCCCTGCTATTGTTTTTTTTCCTCCAAAGTCTCAGCATCACAAGCTTGATAAAGCAATTGACAAAAACTTCAAAGATGAAAAACAACAGCCCTAAGTACTGCAACGTCTTGTTTGCATTCAATAGATTTAGGTCTCCAAAGCAGCCTGCTTTTTTTGTTGTATCATTTCCTTTGGCTCTGAAAAGGACAGAGCCTCCTCTTAGCTGAAGGGCTTTATTCACTGTCCCCCAGTCATTGCTTTTTCCTCCAGACAGACTTACCCTCTCACAAAGTTGCTGCTTTAACCAAGACGTTAATGAAGCAGGATTGTCACCGACATCCATATCCCCAGGAAAGTCTTTAGGTGAAGCTTGTTTCCTAACTTCCTCCTTTCTTCTCCCATTCCTAGGGTATCATTTCAAATGCCAATACCCCCCCAAAAGAAGAAAGTTAGTTGTCTTCAATGGCAACTGCTATATACTTAGAAAAATGTAAGGAAAAAATATGCATAGAAGCAATTGTTTCAGCCCTGTGTGCTCCAGGGAGGAGCACATTGATCCCATAGCCCAGGTCGTTGCTGGCAGGCTTTCAGCCAGCCAGCGCCAAATCTCTCCAGCAGGTGAGCAGAGTTTGCCAAAAACAAAGGCAGCTCTGGGCACTTAATCATGTACAGTAAAGATTTTCAGGGAAAGCATTTACCAAAGACGCCTGAAAGATTTTTCTCTTTGCATTTAATCCTCGGGGGGTTGGGGGAAGGCTGAGTAACAGCATCATTCTCTCATAATACTCACCACCAGGCTGGGGGGATTTAGGCTAACCCGTCACCTGTCGGCTTGAATGGCAGAAGGCCTTCAGATCACTGACTTTATTTATAATCTACCCAGTTATGTTAGTCTCTGAACTATAGTTTTCTCCCTGGACTCTACAGATAATCGAGAGGTGGGTAGTTGAAGGATTCTTATGTAGCATCACTAGGAACACCTGAACCAAGCGCAGTTCTGGTTGGTCAGTGCTAGATGGAGCCCCTGTCCCGCAGACATGGACAGCTCTGCTGTCCATGGTGGCACTGGAGGAAGCTGGCAGTGATGACTTACCTTGGCTTTCTGCAGGACGGTGCCTTTGCCAGTGACCATGACCGAAAGAGGCCTGTTCTTAAGGGCTGTTGCGGAGTTGACTGGCGTAGAGTCGGGGGCAGGGGTGGCAGCTTTGGGCTGTTGGTGACGGGAGAGAGCGAGGCCTGAGCAGATGAAATGTGACCCACTCCCCCAACCCAGATGCAGGAGGTCCTGCAGGCTGCCCCAAGAAACTGTGGCTCCCGGCACTCACGCGGGGGCTTGCGGTCTCCAGGTGGGTGGTGTCCACTGTGGTGCCCAGGGTCACCGGCCCAGCCTCTGCCTTCTTCAGGTTGTCCTTCACCTCCACAATGTTGAGCTCAAGGTCCACACGCTTGCTCTCCTCCACCCGGCACTCCTCATCAATTTCTTTCAGCTTCTGTTCCAGGCCGGCCAGGATGCCCTTGTCTGCAGAAAGAACTAAGCCAGCTTCAGGGAAAGGTTTCAGCCAAGGTCAGGATATTCTGTTGCGTAAGGGCCCTGGCAGAACAGGCCCCAGAGTTGGGATGTCCCTCTGGGCGCAGGGGCAGCTCTGAAGCCCAGTCCTTTGTTAGCATGGTGCACAGGCTGGGGGAAGGCTCGAGTCCCTTCTGGTACATTCTTAGAGGCGCTCAGTTATTTTGCCATCTGCTATTGTAACAGCAACCCTAGAGGTTACAAGAATGACCCGAGAGGATGGAGGGGCTATTTCATCTGCCCCCAAAGTCCTCTCAAGCCTTTGTGCTTTCCGGGGTTCTCAGGTTGGTACTGTGGCACCAAGAATGACTCGTGGGGGCCCGTCCTAGTTGCTCACTGCTAGGGACTTGTCTCGAGTGCAAGTCATCAGCCGCCATGATAACTAGCCATAATAATCAGCAGCAGCCCCAGCGGCCACACTCAGAAACAAAGCATGTTTGTGATGGTTTACGATTAGCATTTGTGACTTACCAGCCTAGAATACGCAGGGCTTATTTGCCAGGAGAATAAACTACAGTTGAGCCTTGACCAGTATGGGGGAGGGGACTAGAGGTGCAAATCCCTTCCCAGATGAAAACCTGCATAACTTTTGGTTTCCCCACACTCATCAGCAGCCCAGCCCTGAGGTCTGCAGGGTGGAAAGGAGCTTCTGTCTCGTTACCTCTGCACAGCGCCCAGGGCTCCAAGCCAGTGGGACACATTTATAAAGACAGAAAGCAGGTGAGAGGTCGCCGAGGATAGGAAGGCTGGGAGGCTCTGTTAATGGGTCTGGCCTTGCTTTGGGAGTGATGAATATGTCCTAAAATCAGATAGAACTCTGAATATGCCATAAGTAAGCGTTGTAAATGGGTCAAAATATCATCTGAATTACAGCGCAACAAAATTGCAATTTTTTAAAGCCCTCATAGGGTTCTTAGGAGTCAGCTGGGTTTGTCCCCAAATCTGCTTATGCCAGCTGTGCTGTTGGGCAACTGGAATAGTGAATGAGCACGGAGAGGTGCCCTGGAGAAGGCAGTGCTTTGGGGAAGACTTGTAAGAGGCAAGTTGCCAGGGAACAGCTGATGGATGTGTGAGGATGATTTGGAAAAGAACCCAGAACCCAGAATTCTTTGCAAGCATCTTAGGATGCTGCATCACAGGCGTGGCAACTGCAAGAACATGAACAGTGACACAGGCTCAGTCCTGGCCAAGAGGTGGACCGGGGAGTGCCCATTAGTTATTTTGAGTGAAAATAAATGTCTAAATGTAGAAATCTGAGATTTCCAGCGACCTCTGTTTCGGTTAAGTGTCTCTGCATAGATAGGAGGGAGAGGAGCATCTACCTCTGAGGCTGAAAGGGGAGTTGAAAGCCAAGTGCACAGGTCGTGTCTTTGCCTGAAAGGACCCACCTGTACATCTTGACAGAGTCTCCTTCAGCTCCCGCTTCTCTTTCCGAAGCTGGGCCAGGTGCCCCCGGATTTCTTCCTTCTGCTTCTCGAGCCGCTCCTTCTCCTCGGTGTACCGCTTCACCTCAGCCTCTGTCCGATTCTTGCCAAGTTTGATCTCTACAGGGAGGAGGGAACCCCAAGGTCAGCTGGGCTGGACTAGGAGAGAGTCTCCCTCCCACTGAGTGGCTTGGACAGAACCCAGGGCTCTGGCAGTGGAGCAGGCCTGGCCAGCCTGGCAGTGACAGCAAACGAGCCCTTCTGTGCTGTGTGATCTTGGGCAAGTCCCTTGACTTGCCTGTTCCTTCATCTGAAAGCCAGGAATGGGACTAACATCTCTAAATGGTTGCAACTCTTGTCTAGCGCTGGTACCTGCAGAGGTGGTCTTCAACCTGTCTTTCACGGGTGAGCTGGGCCCGACTGGGGTGACAGCTACAGCATCAGGGCAGCTTGGTGAGAAGGAGATTTTCTGTTGTTCAGTCTGGATTTTGACTGCTGTGATTCGCAGGGAAGGCTCCCCAGGCTCGGGACTCAGCCCCTGCATCTGTTTTGGGAGAAAGCAAACATGCCTCAGCACAGCCCCTGGGAAGGCAGGGCTGGCTCACCTGGGGGACGACCTGTACCTGCTGTACCTGTAACTCGGGAGTCTCTGAAGACTTCACAAGAGCCTCATCTAAGCTAGGGCGGAAGAGGACATCAGCTGGGAGTTCCAGGAGAGGCAGCGTAGGGGAGGAGGCTCGGGCCTGGGCACCAACTGGGCTGTGCAGGAAGGACTTAACAGGTGTGAGGTCCAGGTACAATCGGTCGGCCTCGTTCTCAGCACCTGTTACAGGAGCGGCTTCCTCGGGGGGTTCCACCTGCTGAGGAAAGTTGGGTACTTTCCCCACTGCCTCCCACCCCGGCCCTGCCTCATGCTGGTGGGGCCTTCCTCCTAGGGAAGCTCCTATTGAGCAAGGAGGCTGGGATCAAGGCCTAGTTGCGGGACACCCTTTCCTGCATCTTACCGCATCTGTAAAGAAAACTGTAGTATATAAAGTGGTCAGGGTTAAATGAGCGCGTCCACGCCAGCCCTCAGCACAGAGGGTTCAGTGCCAGTGACAAACCTGCTGCCGTGGGTGTCACAGCTCCTGATCCCGGCACCGTGGCCCACAAGGCAGGCACCAGATGTTCTGTCTTTGACAAGGCCCCGGCCAGGTGGAAGCACAGCCCAGGTACAGAAGACGAGCTGCCACACCTAAATCTTTGCCCTGTGGGTGACCTGGAGCCCATGTGTGTGGTGATCTGACCCTCTCTATGGGGGCCGGGCATGACAGAAGGCGGCCTGGGTGACCCAGGCCACTCCCCGCAGCATCCTTACCACTGCTGTCAGCTCAGCCATCTCCACGTCGTCATACAGCAGCTCCTCGTGGGCCTGGCTGGGCAAGCCATCGATGTACATGTTCTGCTCCGAGAACTTTCTCTGCATCAGCCTGGAGACAGTGTGAGAGAGGGGTCAGCACAGGGCGGGGAGGGCCTCGGGCTGTGCAGACACCAAGCAGTGTGATCCTCACAAAACCAGCCCCATCCTGTTGGTGTGTCTCCTGCTCTGCCGGCGCCTTTCCTCTAGAACTCTCGGTTCCCAACTTCTCTCCCAGGAATACAAATTCCCTTGCCCTCCCTCATGGGATCCTTTTGCCATCTTCTTGCCCTGATTCCTCCCTTTGCGGATCTCCTTCCGATGACAAATGCCTTTCTCACACCATCTTCGCTGGACACTTGGGGTAAGACACCCGCCCTGCTTTACACATAAACCAGCTCCATCTTGGGTGGGGCCAGCGCCCCCCCCCCCGCCCCCAGCGCCACTTTCCCCTGCATGTTTCAGAATTGCTGGGGTCCATGTGAAGGATGCAGGCAAAAGGGGGTGGCCAGAAAGGGCGGGGACTCTGGCACAGGATCTGGAGCACATCTGAACAGAGCCACAGAGGCCATGTGAGCTGGCTTCCAGCAGCGGCCCTGGGCCTTCTGCTGAGGAGTAGGCTGGGGCCACAGAGTCTTAGCCAAGTTCTCAGCCTCAGCCTGGGGGCCGGAAGCTGGAATGGGAGGGTGTCCATAGTACTCACAGGAGAGAGTTTTTTGCCGCACTGACAATACAGGAAACCCTGTCCGCATCCACGTAGTCGTAGGTGAAGTCTTCCGGGTCTGTCTTGGAGCCCGACTCGGACAGCAGTAGGCCGAGCCAGTGGCCCATCTCCTCGGAAGACTTGGCCTGGAAGGAAGACAGGGAGGCTCTGAGCAGGTCTGGAGGATGCCTTCTCCCCAGTGGCACCCCCTGAGATGCCCACGTGGGCACTGCTTCTGAGAGTACCCCGGCCATGCTCCCTCATTTTACTGGCACCTACCACTCCCCACCCAGGATGCGGATACTTCCTGCTACCGGAAAATAAATTCCCTTCTGGGGCCCCACAGTGATAGTATGGACACCACATACTACAGTGATAGCATGGACACTTGTCCCACGTGATTATATGCAGGTATTTCCAGAAGGCTAAAATGGACCAGTGGAAATTGCTTCAGATCGGCACCTCTAATTTATGAACTATCATATCATTTTATCACCCTGGTCTAGTCCGTACATGGCCAACCACTTGGATTCTAGCAGAAATAACAGCATTCAAATTTTTCTCGCTTGCTTCAATAAAGCCAAGCTGTCTTAAACACCCACACCAGGGCAGCTAGCTGTGATCATGAACTAATTCCCACTGAACTTGGTGCCTGACATTTTTCCAGGCCAACCAAATGCATTCTAATTGTGTATACTGGCTTTTTTCTACTAAAATGCCAACATGATTTCTTCCCTCTATTACGAGAAACACAGAATCCTATATATGCTACAAGTTCACTTTCATCAGGAAAAGCATCACACAGCACAGCTCGACCCCTGGTGCTACGCTCCCCAACCAGGGGGGCTGCTCCGTGCCCAATCTGGCTTCCAGCGGTTTCCTTTGCACCCTTTATTCTCAGCATAGCTTTTCATGAACACCCTCTATTGCCGGCCACCTCATCTCTGCCCTGGGTGACCGTCACAGCCAATCTCGTTTCAGCACCCCACCTCCGGCAGCTGGAGAAACACCCTGAAATTCAATATGACCCCCTTATTTAGGTTTTCTAAATTCCTGCTACAAGTGAGACCATCCGGTATTTTTTTTTTTTTTCTTTCTGGCTTATTTCGCTGAGCATGATCCCTAAATAAGGGACCAGGAAAAAGACTAACTACAATAAAGAAAAAATCAAAATCAACAAGCAACTATAAACCAGAGACACTATGGGGGAGGGAGGGGGGATGGGAGAGAGGAAGGATTAGGCTCAAAATAAGGGGGGTGCAATTGTATGGGGAATATAACCAAAGTGAAAATGCATACATTGTGCAAAGATGAAAAATGATGTAAGAATTATATAAAATATTTAAAAAAATTTCAATCTAACCCCTTCAGGGGTGCCATACTCAGGATCACTCCCCCCACCTCTACCTGCACCTGCTCCACCACTATGACACCTATTGGGTAATTAATTGAATAACATCTAACTCTCACACCAGAACATAAGCTCCAAGCGGACAGGGAGCTAGGGACAGACAAATACAGGCTTGTCCCTGGGAAGCAAGTGGGCTATGGATTTTCAGCCAGCAGAGGGCAGTCTTGCAGCAGAATTTGGATGTAGCCCCCTGGCTGGAGGGTGGAGAGATGAACAGAGAGGGTGTGCGCCTGGGTATTCACAGAGCTCTGACCGCCCTCCCAGCAGGGACACACATGATGTCACTTCTTGTTTTTGTAAATGTAGCATGACATCAAGCAGGAGAAACATCACTGCATTACAAACGTAATTCTTGAGATAAGCCCTAATGCCCGTTGTTATGTGCCGGACCACATCTGGTGACACACGAAGGAAATCAGCCCCACTCAGAGTCCACGGGTTTCTCCCCCAGCTCAGAGGTTATAAATACTCCTCCAGTCCTAAGACAGGAAGCAGCTCATTGTCCCGCTCCTATAACTCAACCACCCTGAGGTCAGAAAGCGAATGGAATTTTTTTTTTTCAAATGCAAACAATCTCAGGCAAAGAAAGTAAAAATAACATGGGACCAAGCTGAATCACCCCGTAGGATTACAGGTTGCAGGATGGCGGCAAAGCAGCCATGACCTCCACGCCCTGGCTGTGCCCACCTCCCCCTGCCAGCCATACCTCCAGCTTGGCCAGCTCTTCGCCGTGGTGGAGGATGCGGAAGGAGTAGAGGTGGTCGGGGCTCGGGTCTGGGACCACCTCGCAGCCCACCAGGCTGAGGGGCTGCTGGGCCACCTTGCTCCTGTTCCGGTCCTGGTAGAAGTGCAGGTGGCTGTCCCTGACGGAGCACCAGCGCGACTTCCACTGGCTGTTCACCAGCACGTTCAGGTAGCCTGCAGACGGGGGACAGAGCTGCAGGAGGGGGCGGGCGGAGGTGGGGGCAGCTGCAGGAGGGGATGTGCTGTAGGTGGCCATGGCCAGGAACGGGGTGTCTGGGACTACCACTACCGCTGGTCCTCCTGAGTCCCCCAGAATCTCAGCTCCAACACTTAGCCTGACCTCCTAGAAGCTGTGACTCAGATTTCTTTCCTTCAGGTAAACATGAATCTCTTGAAGGTGGGCCACATGGCTCTGCTAGTTTTGGGGAAAAGTCTGCCCAGACGGAAGTGGTTGCATCTTCCACTTCGGCCCCGACCCATCCTTCCAGGCGCAGGCCCAGGAAGCCATCCCTGACCACAGAATGCGGAGGCTTCCTTCTGCCTCCGCGTCCCAACACCCATTGACGTCGCACAGCTGTGGTCATGGGTATGAGCCGGCATCCCTCCTGTCCTCTGCCCTCTGGGTTCCACTTCCCTAACACTGTCTGCCACGCTCCCCACGTATTGATCAAGTGCACGTATTTTAAAGACCCTGAGGAAGACAACCATCGGTCCACCTTCACTTCCACACAGCAGCCAGCATGGAGCGAGACAGACAGGTGAGGCACTAAGCATCACCTGCAGCAAATGTAAAGGAGACCTGGCTGCCAGCAACCCTGCCCTGGACAGGTTCGAAACCAGCCCTGAACAGCCCGCCTGAGTTGCCTTCCTGGAGACGGGCTCCGGCCTGGGGAGAGCCCTCTGCTCCTGCAGGTGGCCTGGAACCTTACTGGATGTCTCGAGGGACCTTTCCGGAGGCTCCAGCGAGGTGGATTTCTTCCTGCCCAGGTTCATGAGATTGCTCAGTTTGAGGCCAGCAGAAGACTTCTTCTTGACTGTCAAGGAGAAATGAAGAGCCATCAGCATTGCACATAGCTTGCTGCCCCCCTCTCCGCACCATCTGCCCCTCGCACACGCCCTCACAGACCAGCGAGGGGCCACCACGTCTCATAAAGTATGTCAGCCCTTGAGACTCTCTGTGGGCTATATCGAAATAGGGTGAGCAAACAAGAAGAGCTGAAAGGACCTGCTCCCTCCACCAATGCATGCAACTTAACTTCAATTTGATTATCTTTGTTCCTGGATCTGTCAGCTGCAGCATTTGGAGGGCAAATTAGAATCAGCTGTCAAAGCTGGCTGAGCCGGGTCTCCCACCTGGGATGCCGCCCCCCGCCCCCAACCGGGGCTGAGAGCCACGGGTGCGGTACCATCTTTGGTGTCTGGGACCTCTGGGGGGCCATCCACAGAGCTGCCATACTCTGAGCCCGACAGGTACTTCTCCGGTATGTCTGCCTGCAGAGAAGAGAAAGTGGTGACCTCGCCTGACCCAGAGACCACAAGTTAAGGGATGTAAACGGAGGCCAGAGGTCACCCTGGAGTCCAGGTCCAGGCTTCCCTCTGGGGCTCTCGGAGGACCTGCCTTGTTAGGCTCTCTGCCCCATCCCAGAGTACCTTCCCCAGATGCAGGGGCCTTGCACGCAGAAAGGCAGCCAGTCCTGGGGTGGCATTAGAGATGGCATCTCCACTGCCATTGATGGTTAAACTGGAACAATCCACACCCGGAGCGGCCTTGTCTACACAGGGTTGGACCATGGCCCCAGTCATGGCTTGAACACGCTCCAGCCCCTCTGAGCCTTGCCCTGCGTGTGTGGACAGGGATACTAGCCCCGCTGCATCCCCAGGGAGTAGACCGTCACGGGAAGAGTCTGTTGGCTGCTGTGAGCACGAGGAGAACTGAACATGCCCGTCAGGCTGCTTCTAGAGAACTCCCACTCCAGAAACAAGTTGAGGGGCTCCCAGCCAACCGACCAGCCTGAGGCGGAGACCAGGATGGAGATGCCTGGCCGGTCCTTAGGTAGAGCTCTTTCCCACCCGCATGGGAAGAGGCCCCAGTTTACGTGTCTTTTGTCTTGTTTGTGAGCAAAGAACAAAGAGACAATGAGAACCCCCTCTTCAGTCCTCCTGGAAGGCTGTGGGTGTTCCTTCATGGGGAATGGCCTGTGCCTTTCCAAAAAACAGCCAGCCTCCCCCCTGCTGCCCTGTCAGAGGCGGGGACCCCAAGGTGAGGAGCAGTGACCCTCTAGCTCTCCTGAGCTAGCCTAGGCCTCAGGGCACCCACCTGCTGATACTCGGGGATGTGAAATGTAACCGGGGGTGGGGGCCTGCCTCTCAGCCAGCACCCAGCCGCCTCGCTCGGCTTTGACCCTTAGGCAGTGCCCCACGGCCCCGCGCACATGAGCTCTCTAGGGTCGGGGCCAACACTGAGAAGCACTACGGTGAGAATTAGTGGACAGAAGAGACTCGACAAACAAATCTCCCTCTTTAAGTGGAGGACACTCTCTTCTGGCCCACTAAGGCTTCCCCCGAAGCAAGACTATCTTTAGGTCTGTATCGATTTCATCCATGTGCCAGCCAAGCTGCAGTGACTGCCCAGCCACCAGGCGGCATACTGCTTCACAATCTGGGCCAAAATGCAAAAACAAAGCCCCCAAATTTACACTTTTAATTTTTATGGGGAACAAATGGAAAAGTTCATTCTGGGCCAGGTGGAGACGTACCTTCTGGCAGTTCAGGCGTGGGACGTCTGGGGTGTACTGGTTCCCCTCGCACGCTCCTTCTGAAGGCAGGCTACTCACCTCCTGGATGACCTGAGGGAAGAGGGAGGCCGTGAGCGGAAGCTCGAGGTCAGGAGGGAGTGGTGGAGGTCAGAGAGAAGAGGCAGGGGTCCAGGGAATGGAGCCTCCCCCGCCTTCCCCATACATGTTGCCCCAGGACCCAGCTGGCAGGCCACAGTGGGATGGGGGGGGCTAGCTCCTTATGCCCTCCCTCCAGCCAGCTCCCACATCTCCTGGGGATGGGCCAGGGGATGGGGGTTGGTAGAAAAGCCCAGAGACAGCCAGAGTAGCCATCCCTCAACTCTGAGAACCCTGCTTTGCCACCCTGGGTGGGGAACTCTGCTCTGTGGCTGTGATGGAGAGCTGCGCCTGCCCACTGGCTTTCCAGAGGCTATGGGGCTTGTTGTGGAGCCCCCCACGCTTGGGGAGTAGGCCCACCAGCTGCCGTGGCTCCACATGTCTCTGGATCTGCTCTCCAGACTGGCCCATCACAGGCTGCCCTACCTTCCTCAGCAAGGAACCTGTTTTGCTGGCACCCCAGAGCCTGGGCTGGGGGCACCGGGGTCAGGGGCAGCTCTGGCTATATTAAGCAGCACCCTGCTCTGAGCTAGGGGCCACGTGGGGAGTCCCAGAGGTAACAGCTAGGCCAGCTGTAACATGCTGCCCACCCAGAGGTCCCCTGCAGATACACTCAGGAAGAGACATGGCAACCACCAGTTTATGTAAATGCATTTAAAAATCAAAAAGTCACTGAGCAGTAGCTATGGGGACAGGACCCTTAAAGCCTTTCTTACTTCCTAAACTGCTTCCAGTTTGGGTTCTGGGTCTACATGGTGAACCAAGTATGTCCCAGGGTGCTGTGGTACAGAGCAGGCCCTGGAGCCAGCCATTAGTCACGTGACCATGGGCCTCAGTCCACACATCTGTAATTCAGGACACCTATGCCACAGGCGGCTGTGAGGACTCGTGCTAAAAGTGCCCAGCTCATCTTTACTGGGGACTGGACCCAGGAACGCCCTGCCCAGGGCAAACGCACTAACCAGGAGTCTGGGCTTCAGGGTGCCTCGCTTCTCTGGGGAGGTCCCGCCTTGTACCTTCCTTTTCTGAAAGCCTTGCATCCTATTCAGCAACTCCCCTTTCCTGGCATTTACCTGTCTTACCCTGTGGGCACAGGTGAGATAAAGAGTTGGACGCATAGGCCCAGGGAACACAGATTTGACTGAACAGATGCTGCTGCTTCAGAGTTCTTTATAGCCAGCATCAGCAGCCAGCAAGAGTGCACGGCCTCTGAGAGCCAGGACTTCCGGCCGGCACCCCTTCCGTGCTCATCTGAGTGGGTGGAAAGGGTTTGTGTGAAGTCTGAAAGGGGCTGTGCCTTTTGAAAGCACTTTTTGTCTTTGAAACCACCAGCAAGGCTGTGGGGGCCAGGAGTCTTTGGAAGAGGGTGTGAGAGCTGGGGAGAAAGGCAGGGGTCTGGGGAAGGACAGGTGGGTTTGAGCAGCCCAGGGAACAGAGCTAGAAACTGGGAGCAGGTGCAGCGTGTGTATGCATGCACGCATGTGCACACATGCAGGTGTATGCATATGGGCAAGTATGTGTGTGTACACATGCGCATAGTGGTGGAAGGGCTTGGGAGAGGGCTGAGTGGAGACGGGGGATTTGGGCAAGAGAAAGGAGTTAAACTAGGAGTGCAGAGCCCTGGTCTTAGTTGTCTCTGTAGCCCCAGACAAAGCTTTAACTCTCTCTGCACCTGTTGCCTGTACTAGCCAAGGAATACTCAGTCTATGCTAGATACTCTGCTAAGTACCACATAGGCATGAACTGGCCCAAGATCACTCAGCTCAACAGGGGTGAAGGCAAGACATGAACCCAGAAACCATGTTCTTAAATAGCCTAGCTCAACCTTCTGCAGCAACAGTCTCGCAGGAACCCCCATGGAGATTTGCAAAGCTGAGCCACAAACCTCACTGGCCATGGTAACCCTTCAGCTATGTTTAAAGGAGGTGGTTCAGGTCTTTTCTGACAAGTTCACCAAAGTTATGTTCACTGGAGCCACATCCTGGGTGGAAGGTGGAGATGATGCACCTGCACTGGAAATACATCCACACGGTGTGGCAGGAGGCAGGGGCAGAGGGCCAGAAGGCAGGGCTTCGCTCTCACTGGCCTCATCAGGCGTCTTGCTAGGTTGGGAGACCCCTTTGAACTATGGGCGCCTGCTTGGCACAGTCCTTCTACCCCCTGGAACTAGGAATCTCGTCTTTAACATGGAGCAGGCAAGTCCCTCCCAGAGGCCTCATCATCATGGGCAGAACTCACAGGACCGTGGCCAGATGGCCCTGGCTGTGAAATCTAATCTGCCACTCATTTTCCAGGTGACCTTGACTGCCACCTCCTCCCTCTGAGCCTTAATCCCCATTCCTGTAAATTGGGGATGCTGACATCACCCAGCTTTCCCCAGTGTGGTTGGGAGGGTCACATTTGCTCAACGTGCACAGTCCCAGCCCCTGAGCAAGGACAGCGAGGTCTACTGTTCAGTGGGGAGGCTGGTGATGTCTCACTAGAGGCAAATGGATTTCACTGAGCCCCAGCCCAGGCCACCAAGCAGTGTTCAGACTTGCAGAGCCTGGGGATCCGCCTCCCTACAACTGCTGGCCCCCACTCAGCCCAGGAACTTGAAGAATCAGATGCCCCTTCCCCTTGGCAAAATGTCCACGCCTCCTGGAAAAAGCTGGGGAGCAGAACTGCAGGAGCCCTTGGGAGCTCTAGAGGGGAGCAAACCTGGTCGCCTCACTCACCCTGAGCCACTGCTCAGCTTGGTCCTTGCTCTGGAGGCCCAGCACGATCACGTCTGCATTCATTGGCGTGATCTTCAACTTGTGTTCCTTCTTCCGCACTTGCTTCTCCTTGTGAACAACGCTGCTGCCCAGCAAATTCACGTCCAGCTGCGGGCTGTGGTCCTTGGAGGATTTGTAACACTGCAGGAAGAAAGATGGCATGTTACTTTGCCAGCAGTGCCAGGCCTTGCCAGGTTCTGCAGAGGAAGGGCTGTGGGCTGCAGGGCCCACTCAGCATGGCTGTGCCCAGCAAAACTATCAGCTGCACTCCCTGGTGCAAGCCCATGACCTCGTTTCGTGCTCAGTATCAGAGTGACCAGGCAGAAGGTCCCCCTGGCCTTCCAGCCCCATCTCACCTGCCCTGGCCAGGAATGCCCCAGGATTACCCCAGCTGCTTCAACCTCACTGCAGGCCAAGGCTAGATCCTAAAACATGTCCTTCCTGGGCCACTCTCAGTAACCAGGGTGGAAAGCGATTTTCCTGTTTCTTGACCTCTCTGCATGTCTTGCTCAGCCTGACAGCAAGAGGTTCGGAAGGAACGCAGACGAAGCTCAGTAGGAAGATGATATGCAAGCAAAGAAAGGAAAGGACTTCTTCCCTCAAAAAGGGTAAAGGGACTTTGCCCCTCAGTTTGACATTTGTAAAATGGGGGATCCTTTCAGGGCTGCTTAACTCAATTACCTGAAAACATCAGCACAGATGTAGCCAGTGGAGATAGGGTGTTATAACAATTCCACAGGACTTCAAGTCAGGACACAAAATGGAATTTTAATTTATAGTAACAGAGACAGGGCTGTGGTTAGCGGTAGCACCTTCTGGGGCTTGTCTTCAATCAGCAACTCAAAAGATTGCAACCTCTGAGAAGATGCCTGTGATTCTCCTGCTCTACAGATGAGAGGGGTAGCCAGGGCTGGGGCGCAGGGGGGCAGCTGGGGTGGGCCCTGGCTGGACAGCAGGCTCTGCTCCAAACCCCCAGTGGTTGGATGTGAGGAAGGAATGACTCAGAACAGGGGACAAAACGATCGGGGTGGGGGAGGTGCAGAATCTAGGCTGGGCCTGGGGGGAGTGGACAGTAATCCCAGCCAGCTGGGAGTCTGGTGGAAACTACTAGGCTTCTGGTTACGAGAAGGCACATTCACCCACGCACACAAGGTCTGCAAATACTCTCGGGTTAGGAAGAGGCACGAAATCTGATATAAAACATTCCAACCACCTGCAGTCAAGGATCCTCTCCCCCAGCCCCCACCCTCATGCCAAAGAGAGGAGCCCCGACAGGACGCGAGGAGACTGACCAGGAGCCTGGTGTCCTTGATGACGCAGAGCTGCTTGGCCCACTGTCCCAGCCACTTCTTGCGCCACAGGAAGGCGCAGATGCGGGCATCACGCATCAGCTCGATGCTGGCCTCCGGCGAGGGCCACTGGTGCGGTGCCGACTTGCCCTTGCTGCTCTCCTCCTCGTCGTAGGACTCGTAGGAGCTGCTCACGGCCTCTCCGTCCTCTGCAAGGGAGACCCACTCAATCACAGCCCAACGGGCAGCTCCACAACATGTGTGTCCAGGGGGTGTGGGGCTGTGGGCCCAGGTAGCCAGCGGCCCCCGGCCTCAGCCCACTGCCTCTGCAAGCCCTGGCGCCACACCCCATCCTCCAACGGAGGCCCCGGCAGACCTTCAGGCCCCCAAGCTGTCCAGTGATGCTTCTTGGATGCTGCCTCTGGCCAGACACAACTTGAACCCAGGATTCTGTCCCTTCTCCTTGCTTCACCTTAGGCTCCCCAGAAACCTCCAACAAGACAGTGCCCACAGACCGTAGCTGGCTCTCAGGAGCCAGGTCCCCTACCCCAGGCCTCCATTCCTCCCCCAGAGGATGAAGCAGTGGGGTGAGGAGCTTCCAGGCTCTTTGGGACCTGGTGCTCTGTCATTCCAGAAGGAGGAGGAGCCACCTCTGGGCCCAGAGCTACACACAAGGCAGCTTCCACGAGCTGCCTGCACTGGGCCCAGCCTTCCCTGATTCTGTCCCTCAACAAGGGAGGAGGTGTGGCTCCAGGAAAGAAAGGGTGACAGAGCAGGAGACAGTGCCCCACCTTCCCAGCCCTAAACACCCACTCTGCACCCCCCTCCCGCCCCAGACATGGGTCTCCTCTTCCCACTAGCACCTCCAGGGCGAACTTGCTTCTGCTACCGCTTGCCAGCTCAGACCCCCCACCTTCTCCACCTCTGGCAGAAAGCCCCGCACACCTTTCTGTTTGGTTCTTAGAATCCCAATGCTCTCATGGCACAAACCACACCAGATCTATGCTTACTCCACACACCCCCACCTCTGCCCCTACCCTGCAAGAGCAGCTCTGTTCTCTGGCTTCCCTGTACTCTCCAGCCCCAACAAAAGCCATGTGAAGAAAAAAATCCATCAATAAACCCCCAAAAGCAGGACATGGAGGAGAGAGGGCCTGGGGACACTCCGTCCTAGGCCTGGCTCAGCACAGGCATCCTGTCCTGTCTGCCATAACCTGAGGGCTGCTCCAGCTGCTGCTTCAACTGGCCACGGGTGAGAAGCTCACTACCGCTAGATGGGGGGCTAGTCCTTCCCTTCTTGGGTAGCCCCAAACAGAATGTGGGGCCTCCATGGACTTTCCTGTGACTTCCACAGACATGTTCTGTCCCATGTCAGGGAGTGATACCTCTGTCCTCCTGGTGACACTTCAGAAAAGCGACCGCCCAGCGGGAAGGCCCTCCTACCTACACAGCTTGCTCCCCGTGCACTAACAGCGACTCACGTCAGAATCAGAATTCAGGAAAACGTTACGAGACCACAGCACAGTTAATTCTAACCACAATACCAGTGAAAAATGTGTTTTCATTTTTTAAAATAACACTTGGAATATTTTAATATCACTTTTCTTTAAAAGCAGAGTATTACTCACCTTCATGGTTTAATTTAAAAAGTTGCAGAGGTCATCACTTTATACCTACTAAATAAGCCAAGGCTGACAATAGCAGGGCCACGCGGCAGGGGATCCTGAACTCTACGGCTCATGGAACGTGAATGAATGCAGGCTTCACAGAAGACAATCTGGCAGCCCGTTGTTTTAAGAGCCATAAAAACACCCAAGCCCTTTGACCCAAAAGTCCTAGCCCTGGGAGTTTATCCTCATAAAGCAGTTTTTTAAAAAAGGGGAGAGGGTTACATGCACTAGGATAGTCATTCAATTGCAACGAACACTCAGCAGGCAGAGGCTGGGAAAGGCGTGATTTCATCTCCCGAGGAGCAAACCATGCAAATATCACCAGCAAGAATGCTGCACTCATCTGCCCGTGATAGGATGCAAGAAAGCACAGTTGAAATTGTTTAGGGAGGCCTCCCCAGTGGCACAGCGGGTTGAGCACAGTGCTGTGAAGCTGTCTGCAGCCTCTGCAGCGCGGGTTCGATCCCAGCCGGCCAGGGAGATGACCACATAGCGCGACAGACCTCTCCTGCCTTGCCCGCTGCTCCCCTCAGCAGTGTCTTCGTTCCGTCTGCCTGTTCTGCTGCCCACTTTGTCTTTGGCGAATCCTCTCACCCTCCCGCACCTCTGGCCTATACCCCAGTTCTTGTATAAATAAAACTTTAAAAAATAAATAAATTGTTTAGGGAAACAGATCAGCACTCAGACAACTAGAGCTGGCTGATTTGATCAGGGTTATTTTGTAAAAAAAAAAAGTCCTCATTTTATAGCATTATCTGTACAAGCGGGAGGAGGAGGTGAACAGGCCATGGGGATGTAACAAAAGTTAACAAGGGAGGCTACAGGGCCTCCCCTGTGGCGCAGCGGTTGAGCGCTGGGTTGCGAAGCTGCCCGCGGCCTCTGCGGCGCCGGTTCGATCCCCGGCTGCTCCCCGGCCACCGGAGGAGGGTCCCACATGGCGCGCAGACCTCGCCTGTCGCCCGCTGCTCCCCTCAGCAGTGTACTTCAGTCCTTCTGCCTGCTCTGCTCCCCGCTCTGGCTCTGGTGGATTCTCTCACCCTCCCGCGCTTCTGACTATACCCAGTGCTTGTATAAATAAAACAAACAAACAAATAAATAAATAAATAAAACATGCCTCTATAAAAAAAAAAAAATTAAAAAAAAAAAAGGATAGCAACAAGGGAGGCTACAGTGATCTTGTGTGCAGAACTTGGGCGAATCTCTTTGTGCCTCTGGGCTCCCCCTGTGTTTCATGGAGAACTGGAACATCTTGCTGACCTAGGGGGAAGCTAAGGGGGCTGGGGACATTAACTGTGATGCAGCAAATCACAGTACTTCAAGCTACCCGGAGTAGTGTAGAGGGAATTCCAGACAAACGTGTCGATTCACCCTAAGCGTAGCCACCGTACCACCATAATGGAGGCTATTCTTCAAACAGATGCTTGGCCCCCAGGGGCTGCAGGGTGAGAAGGAGTAAGATGCTCAGATACTTCCATCCCCATTTGCCATCCCCAGGTGGGCTGCACCCACTGCATCCTGCACGTCCTCAGGGACAGCAAGCAGAAACAGCACGCACCGCCCTGGGCCCTTCAGCCATGCGTTTTGGATGCTGCAGGCAGGAGTCTGCGGACAGCAGGTTTAGTCTCCTCCTGGAAGCCTGGCACGTGGCATGCCCATGCAGGATGGAAAGAGGGCAGTGGCTGCCCCGGTGCGTGCACCCCGTCTCTGACAGCCAGGCAGCAGGCACAGAATCACTGGCATTCCAGCAGTGGGGACGAGCAGTACCCAAGGTGATGGTGGCGTAGATGACTCCTTCAGGAAGTTGCGCCCATCTGGGGGCCCCGGTGGGGAGAAATGTGCCAGAGTGCCCTGTGTGTTGTCCAGAAGCACAGACAAAGGCAAGGTGGAGAGAGACAAGGTGAAGAGTGGGACAGACCCAAATTCAGGGAAACAGAGAGGCCCAGGTGGGGCGACACACTGCCTGTCCCCCAGAAGTTGGTGCTTTTCTGTCAGAGGTGCGGGCGAGCAAGGAGAGACCCCATTTTGCCCAAGCACATCATTTCCCTGCTGCTCTACATCCAAGAAAGGACCACGTGGCTGCTTTCACCTATGGGATGTGGGCAGAAACTAGGGGGCTTACTTCCGGCTGGTGCTTTTAAGAAGCACACGGGGTGCTCTACTCACTCTGCAGAGGATTCGGTGGCTCTAGAGGCTGACCAAGTCCGAACAAAAAAGCAACATGGGTCCCCAAACTACTGCCTGACCTGTCACCCCACACTGAACTGTTCTGTGAGTAGGACATTTGTATGTATGACACCCCCCCATCCTGGCTAAAGTCAAAACAAAGTCGTTGAGAGAAACACCAAGAGGCGTGGTCCTTCTCTGCACTTGTTTGTGTTGAGACGAAGTGTCTGCCCACAAACAGCATCCCCCCTCCCCGCCCCCGAGAGCATCTGGGAGGCAGGCCCCAGCTGGCACTGGCTACATCCCAGAGAGATGGGGCGAAGGTGCTCCCCGTGGTGAGTCACTGCTTCACCTTCCAGACGCATCCAGACGGCAGCACCACGCCCTGGGCTGTGGTCTAAAATCACAGCCCAGCCGGTGACTTGGCAACGCCTTACTCACTCAGGGGTTCAAGTTCAGTGACGTCTGCCCACCAAACCACCCTCTTAGAAGAAAATAACCTCAGCCCACACAGTTCCCGGGACTGGAGGCCTGAGGTAAAGTGTGAGGAAAGATGAGAAGAATCCAACGAGGCTCCAAAGGGCTGGTCCCATCTCATCCTGGTTCTGTTCTTTATGAAACCAACAATGCTCCTCTCAGCCAAGTTCATTCCAGGGACCAAGTTCATACCAGGGACCCTCCCCTTGGTATTTGCCAGTTGCGTTCTGCTTTCAAAGATCTTTCACTCACAGAGGAAGGGAAGAGGACCAGATGCCCAGCTGCCCAGGAGTACAGGGTCACAGTCATCTGTTCTAAATCCTTTCTGTGTGACAGAATTCCTGCGCCAAGAGCATCTCTGATCTGACTTCTCAGGCTAAGACCCACTGGCTATGGACAAAAGGTTCCCCTGCTTCCACAGCGTAGGAGATCTTTTTAACGCCAAGGTTAGGTCACTTCTAAGTACCCCTCCGAAGGCTGGGCATTTCATTTTGTGAAAAGCCACAGTCCATGTTCTCTTTCTCCCCTGCCCCGCCTGATTTCCTTACCATTCCTCAAATGTACCAAGAGCTCTCCTGCCCCAGGGCCTTTGCATATACTTTACTCTATGTCTGGAAAGTTCTTCCTGCAGGTTTCTGTGCCACCTACTTTCCACTTCATTCAGGAATCAGCTCAAGGTCATGCTGTCAGAGAAGCCTTCCCCATCTAAAATACCCCCCCACCTTTGCTGCCCTCCATCCTAACACCTGACTAGTACCTGACACATCCTGTTTATTTGTGGTCTTTCTTCACAGAATCTCTGTGCCGTGACACTGGGCTCCCCTAAGCGCTACTGAGTTCCCGCTCCTGGAAACTCAGCCCATGTGGAGAACAGTGGCTAGTGGTCCAACCGAAGAAACTGCATTCTGGCTCAGCCAGGCCACAAGAACTGAGTGTCCCTGGGCCAGCACACCCTCTTCTGGCACATTTCAGTGCTGAATCCAGCGGGACAGTGGGCACAGTAAACCCGTTCACTGTGTATTGTGCTGGCAGGCAGCCTAGGTGGGCTCCAGGCCTCCAGTCCCCAGCAGCAGCGAGGGACAGTGCTCTGTCCCTCCACACTGGTCACAGTGGCCCAGGCTGCCCTCCACCTCTAGTACTGGCATCTGTGCAGGAAGCAATTGAACCCCCCACTCCCTGTCTCCCCCCGCCAGGCCCCAGGAGGTACCATTGAGGGACATGTCATATGGCTCAGCCTCTTCATAGTAACCCTCTGGAGACTCGATCTTTGGGATGGAGAGCTGTTTCCGTTCTGGAATCTGTGGTATGAACAAATAAACATTTTCAGATATGATATACTGGGAACAACTTGGAATTAAGCCTTTGGGTAAAAGGAAGGGGTGGGGACTCAGAAAGAAAAAAAATACCCAACTGAACTTCAAAGCAAGTTAGGAAGAGACATGGAATACTGACCTCCCTTGGCCATACACACGTCCTGAAGTATTTAATGCACCCAGATGAAGGACTATGGGCACATTGCTTAACCTCATCAAGCCTCAGCTTACACCTCTGCAAAATGAACCTCAACCATCCCTCACAATCGCGGTGTATGTGGCGTGCAACCAGACAAAGGTGCAGATGACGTGGCAGGTGTTAAGGCTCCTAAATAGCATATACTTCCTGAAAAGACAGGGCTGACCTAAGGCACACAGAGGAAGGTTACCAGGTTTTTAAGCACCAAATTTTTGCTGTAATAAGTTTAACTGTTCAGCAAACATAGGTCATTCTTCAGGAGTCAGCCTAAGGAAGAATCACTAGGTAACTAATGTCCTCAAATCAAGTGCATGGTGAATAGTGTAGAACACACCAGGTCAAAGGTCTGTGGGAACAGGACTGCTGGGACCCAGAGGGCAAGATCTTTGAACTGAATCTCAAAGGTGGCCCTGAACTTCTAGGAGGCATAGGGAAAAGTGCACAATTGGAGAATAAAGAACTTAGGCTGCTGTAAAGCATGGAGTCTGAGATCGTTCTGTTCCTCCATGACCCCACCAGTAAAATGGGCACTAAACTATGAGGTAGGCAACAGCAGAGGAGGAAAAAGAGGTCAGCTGCTGATGAGCATGACTGTGTACCAGTCACCCCATGAGACTATGGTCTCTTTCCGATTCATGGAACCCCAAGGAAGGCCAAGAGAATATGCATAATAACTTGAGAGCAGAAATGGCAAAAACCCAAAAGCCTGCCCCTCCTGATTTTGAGAAGTCCTCATGCTGGGTGGTCCATGTGAGGGGCAGGCCTGGGCCTTTGGGACACTCTCAAATGAAAGCAGATGAGGGCTCTTATGGTAAAGGGGTATGGGATGAGATCTTAGCAAAAGCAGGACCCCAAGAGGACCTAAGCTCAGCCAGACCCCTTGGCCTTTGGAAGTCACTGTTCTGCTGATGGGAGTGGGGGGGGGGGTGGTAATCCAGACACCCTTGCCTTGGAAAATGAGCTTATTTGGGAAACCCATGATAGAGATAGGTTCCTTAATCCTGGCTCAGGAGATGGAGGGTAGAGCAGTGAGCCTGGGCTCAGGTCCTGGGGGACAGTACTATAAAATGGGGAGAGAAGAAATACCTGTTACATGGGTAGGGCCATGGTAAGGATTAAACTGGGCTCAGCACTATTAATAAATACTACTTTTTACTAACCTGCGAAATATAAAGATATCAAAGGGGGGAAAGTTCCAGGTATATGTATATATTCGCTACGGAATGAACGGGCAGATGGAGGAATACAAAGTAGACTTTGACTTGACCTGGCTTGTACCAAGCTCCATCTTACTCAAGGATGCACAGGGCCTGCCGCCAGGCTGCTGAGCAAAATATCAGACCTGGGTCAAGTTAAAGGTGAAAGCATTTTGCATAACAATTAAGAAGTCAGTAATTACAAAGACGTAGGATCAAGCAGAAAGGACTATTATTTTAATTACCATCCTCACCATCGTGATGGAGATTGGGAACGTGAAGTGACACAGGAGAGATTTGACTTCAAAACCTGAACTAACTTTCTGAGGCTCACAGTAAGGGCCAGGGAGGAAAGCTGCCCGCTCAGCATGATCTGCCAGAAGCCAGAAAGTTTGCTCTGTGAAGGGCAAATAATCCACACTTCAAGGATCTCGGGCCACCCCAGGTCTCTGATCAGCTTCTCAACTCTGCTGTCGTAGTTCAAAAGCATCCAAAATAATACATATTGGGTTATATCCCAATAAAACACTATTTACAAAAGCAGGTGGCTGTGGATTTAGCCAGATGGCAGCAGTTTGTCGATTCTGATTTAGATTCAACAGAGTAGAAGGTGAGGGGTGGCCCAGCTGACCTGAGGTATCTCTTTTGTACTAAGTGCACCATGGAAGGTTCTGGATGAAGGCAAGTGAATCTGCTGGCCCCAGCTCCCTGAACCCCATATGGCAAAGTCTGTGGAGTGAGCTGTCTCCCTCCAGAGCAGCTCACCCAACACTGGCACCAATGAAGGTCAGGCCTCCAGGGGTGTGATGGGGCGGCCTGGGCTCGCTGGGAGCATGAACAGGGCTAGCAAGCCTCTGGGAGTGAGTGTGGCTGTGTGGAGAGTGGCCTGGAAGGGTCACGGCTGCCTGAGTCACTGGCTATTCCCTGAAGTTGCTCTGGACCCCTGGCTGCCCCTTCCGCCAGCCCTGCTGGCCAGGGCTGCTGGCCACTGACGTCGCCAGGGTTGGAGGGGAATCCACAGCCCTGGAGGAGGAGCTGTGGCATCCTGAGCTGGAGACGGGCCGCACTCCTGGCCCGGCCACAGGCACTGAGTACCCCAGGCCAAAGCTCACCTTCTGCTGCAGTCACCAACAAACCCCTGGGGAGCTGGGCATTAGGACTGACCGACATCATGCCAACTTGAAGCTTGAGGGAAGGGGGGTTGAGAGTCACGGGTCACTCCAGGCTCTTGCTGCCTTGCTCCCTCCACCTCTCCCTCCCAAACTGCGGCTGTTGCTGAGTCTCCTCTTCCCTCAGAGCCAGAAGAGACAGCTGTTCCCCACTCCGCCCTGACCCACCCCTCTGGGAGCCTTGGACTAAGAGTTGTGGCCACTTCAGCCAAACGTGACCAGACAGGAGCCCGAGGGAGAGCAGTCGTGTGCGTGCGCGTGCAGGGATGGGGGAGTCTGGTTTATGCCCCACCCCTCTTCCTCACACCACAGCTGGAAGCCCCTTGGGGTGGGGATGGTGCTCAGGACTGAATGAGGAGAGACCCAGGTAAGGGACCTGCACTCAGGCCCCTGGTTCTCAGCAGAGAAATTCCATGAGGAGGGAAGACTGTGAAGTCAGCTAGTTTTGCTGGAAATCTCCCCAGAGCCTGGAGTTTGTCCACAGGAACAATTACCACGGTCTGAATGGCCGCCCTGGGATGGTGTTATTCTTGGGTGGTGCTATTTTCTCCCATTCCAGCACCAAGTTCCTCTCCTATGTGGACACAAGCCTCTCCTGGCCCGGAGCAGCCCCAGCTCCGGCTGGCACAGGACGACTGCTCTGGAGGCAGCTGGGAGCCTGCTGCTGGCTCGGAGGCCTGCATCCTCACATCCTGGAGCCTGCACGCCACAGGGGACAGGACCGTGAGCGTAAAGGCCAGCGCCAGAATGCCAGGGGCTGCTGGGACTCATGTGATCTGATGTGTTTACCACTGCATACCCTGGGCCCTCCAGCACATCTTGAAACACAGATTTCCAGAACAAGTCAGCACTCGCTCTCTGTCTGGTGACTGCCCCTCCCACCAGGTGCTGACCCACTAGCAGCTGCAGAGGCCCGGGCAGCAACACCCCCTACTGTGCCAGAGCCGCACACAGCCCTGGGCTTGGGAGCAGATGCTGAGTTCAGGATGGAAAAATTTCAGTTCTGACTCAGAGTAGCCCCTTTCCTCCCTACAACCCAACAGCAGGAACCCCCACCCCCCACCCCGTTCTGGATGTGAGTGAGGGGACGGACCCTTGCCCACGTGCTGGGGCTGAAAGAGAGAGGAGCTTACCACTGTGATGACAGAATCTGGGCCTTTCTGTTGCTAAAAACACGAGCTGGAGTCTGGAGGCGCAGAGTGGCCTGGAACCCAAGCACCTGCGCTCAGATCTGGGCCTGCTGCTGCCCAGCGCCGGGACCCTGCCCGGCAGCGGTAACTGAGGAGCCTGCTTTGTCATTGGAAACACAGTGACAAAAATCTGCCCCCAATGGCAGGTGGACCCTGTTCCATCACGTACGAGATGGGGATAGCAGCTACAGTGTGGGGGTCACCAGTGTCATCAGCATAGTGGGGGCAGCCAAGACCCAGATCAGTCCATTGAGTCTCACCTGGCCTGATGGTGAGTCCCTGTCAGGTGTCACCCAGCTTGAGGCACATCGTGGGAGCAGGGGCACTGTCCCAGGTGCTGTAGAACTGCCTGCCGGCAGAGGCCTCAGGAGGAGCCCAGACACCCTCAGCAAGGCATGAGCTTAGTCCCCAGATGCCACAGGAGGTGTCTACTGGCAGTCGCTGACCTTGGAATCATAGCCTCCAGTGGCTGCTGGCCCCCAAATTGTGTAACAGGGTGGTCCCCAGGAAAGGGGGAGGTTCCCTGCCCCACCCAAGGGAGGGTGGAGCTGAGCAGGAAGAGGAGAAGCTGCAGAAGAAGAGACTGAGGAAGGAAGGAAGCAGGATGGAGCAAGGAGACCTGGAGGAGGCACATGGAGCCTAGAGACACGTGAAGAAACTGCGCTTGTCTTTTGGTCGTGGACTGGGTGACACAGATGTGGGTGAGACCCGTGGGGAGGTGACAATGGCAGCTTTTATCTTGATGTTGATTTTGCTCTTTCCTTCCGGGCTTGTCTGGTTGTTTGTGACCCTTTTCTGTGGGTCCCCACTGGAAGATGTTTTAGACTTGTGGCAGGCTTTGGGGCCTTGCTCTGGGCCGACCCCATATGGATGGAGTTTTACCCACGAGGGAATGGGTAACTTTGGGTGCTTCATTTAGAAACTAGACTCTTTGCCTCACCTGTATTGTTTCCTAGTTTTTATTAAAGATCCTTCCCATTAAAGTGTCATATGTTTTGTGTTGATGCGGCGGATGGCAGAACCCATTTAGAATAGGCAGGTTTGCGGGGTTTGGGCTGCCCCTCTCCCTATAACACTATAACACTATAACAATTGCAGCTAGCCATATACATCCTTCCCCCACTGGCTCACACCCTCCAGGAAGCCACCCCCCTGCCCCACTCCCCCAGCCAACCCCTAGGGAGCGAAGAACTTGGATCCAAATTCTGGCTCTGCCACTTCAAGGCTATACAACATTTCAACTCTAAAAGCATGATTCTCGGTTTCCTTGTCCATGAGATATAAACACTGCTATTTAGCTCACCAAATACCCTGGAGGAGTCCACACCCAGCCTTAGCTCACTGAATAAGACAACCTTAGGAGATGGTCACATCCTTTTATTTAAATGCCAGACCTTAACTTACTTGCTCAAGGTCAAACAGCAGAGCTAGGCCCTGGAAACGGCTAGGTCCTGAATCCAAGTCTGTGTTTCTACACTTCCCTCTATCTCTGGGCAGATGCATGTGCTGTGTATGGACAGACACAGGACACCAAACACTGAGAGGCATGGTCTCTGTTTCAGGGAGATTACATCTTGTCTGGGAAGCAAATAATAAGCAAGGCCATATCAATGGAGGCAAGTGCCATGGAGGGGATAATTGGGACAGACAGTAACTGGGGCAGAGTGGTGGTGGGATGCCTCCTATAGGCAAGGCAGAGAAGCCTAAAAATGATTGATGCTGAGGTGGCAGTCTTTAACAAGCCAGGACCCAGGAAGACAGGACTGACCATGTAGTACAATCCAGGCCCAGAGGGAGAACAGGGAAAACAAATGTAATAAGGCTGGGATGTGGTTGGGCCTAGAGCCAAGTTAAGGACCATGGATGTTTTTTCCTAAGGTCAATAAGAGTCATGATGAGTTTCAAGCAGAAAGTATTGTATTGTAAGATTCACATTTGTAAGAGTTCACTGTGACCTGCTGGTAACTACAGGTATACACAGTCCTTCTGGAAAAGCCTCAGACACACAATGGCACTTGACAAAGGCAATCTCCCCCATCACCCAGTTCCATCACCCTGAGCATCTTGGGTAACGTAACCCTGAGCCCATGTCCTCTGCAGGCAGGCTTCTTTTTGCTGTCCGTCCCAGTGCCTTGCCCCATGCTCTGCACAGAGTAGTTGCTCAGAAAATGCACGACATAGGTGGACTGACACCTGGGAAAACAACTGGAAGCTCCCAGGACTCGAGTCAGGGAAAATTGGGGGGGCTTGAATTACACTTACGATCTTGGGTGGTGGAAGGTCTGGAAGACTCTTCTGAGGAGGTGAGGAGTGCTGGGCAGGCTCCCCATTAGCCAGTGGCTTCTGCTCCTCAGGTGCTGTGTGAAGCAAGCAGGAGAGGGTGAGGGGAGGCCAGCCTCCCAGCAGGGTTTCATTATCCAGGCTGTCTGGTCACCAGGACCCCCCAGGGTCAGTTTGAGATGTTAATTACCAGGCCAGGCTCAGCCTGGAGCCAGTTTTGTTTTGCCTCCAAGAATAGGGTACAGTGGTGGCCCAGGTTTGGGGCAGATTCCTCAGCAGGAACTGGTTTGGGGTTTCTGGAAGGCTCTATCCTTTCTCCTCCACCTGCTTTGTGTCAAAAATGGCCTGGCCACAGAGCTCCAGCAAGCAGAGTTGCTGCCAGTGGTCACTATATTGAGACACGCATGGCACCGACCCTGTGATTAAGGTTCTTTCCATGGCACAGCTTAGCCGGAAGGCAATGACCCCAGGCAGTGACCGCCTTTACGCAGATGAGTTCTGCTGAGCCTCAGGCTTGGCAGTGGGGCAGGAAGTAGGTTGGGCCACATTTCTTGTGTGTTTTGAAGGAAAAGGCACCAAAGGCCCTCCTGAGTCTGTTGATTTCAAGGGGCAGCCCAGCCAGCCCCGGGACAGACTCAGCTATATTTGACCTCAGGGTTTTGACGGCTGATGTTTGAGGCCAAGTCTTAAACTTTGCTTGGTGCAAGGACTGAGTGTGCTGAGTGTATGGTCCCACCTCTCTGCACCTTTGTATTGTAACTTCAGGCTGGGAGTTGGAAGAGAGGCTTCTAATCTCTCTTCTCTCCAACTAGAGAGCTGGGCAAACCTCCGAGCCTTTCTAGGACCTGCCAGACCCCTCCGGAAGGTTTTCAGAGAAAAGCAGAGAGCAGAATAGAGCAGAAGACACCAAGGAAAATGCACTATGTCCCTCTAATGGAAGAAAAAATGTTCTGCCCAAGAGGGCACCCTTGAACAAAACCTTTGACTATTAAGGCAGTTGCTGATGTCATTTCCTATCCCCAGGCCCTCAGACCTCACCACCATAAAATCCAGACTCCTATCAAAAGACATAAATCTGGAACCGTGGGATCAACACCATACACAGCTGGCTTCTTAGAACATTTGAATTATGACTTCCTATTTGTGGGATAATGCTGGGAAGTTGCGAGATTTTAGGGACAGATTCCTTAGCCATGAAGGGAACGCCAGACCTTTACAAGGCAAGGAGGTGGTCCGATGAAATATCCCAAAATATACCAACCTAAAATACCATCCACCAAAATGGAACTTCCAAAAATAGTCGCGCTAGGCCTGTCTGTGTTGCCGGATGGGAGAAGGAGGGGGTGAGACAAATGAGGTTTAACCCTCCCCCGCCCCGCCCCCTTATCCTGGGACACCTAGCCAGGCCATCGGCATGCCCAGCCCCATACCTTTGTCTTGGGACTCAGCATTTGGTTGCTTGTTGACAGTCACTTTGTTCATATAAATATACTCCTCATCAGAACCTGCCAAGGAAGAGTGGAAGACATGACATTCATGTGGTTTCATGAAGGAAAATCAGTCGGGAGAGAAATAGCATCTCCCCAGAGACACTGTCATCTGCTTGGGTTCCAGTAAAAGCACAGAACATTTTTTGAGTTGATTGAAAGAGTCCATTGTAGCATGAGTTGACAAATTTCAAAAAAAAAAAAAAGAAAGAAAGAAATATCTACTTGAATGTTAGCTTTCTAGCAGAAGGGAGATGTGTGGGGTGGAGGCTAGCAGCTTCAGGAATGAAAGCCTTAAGTGGAAAGTGACCCATAACTCAGAGATGCGCATCGCACTCTGCAAAGCAGAGCTTTCTCTGGGTTTATAGCATTCATTTAAATTGTAAAACATTTTCATACAGTCACTCTCATCCTAGTCTGAATTACTTGTAGGGGCTAATCAGAGCAATGCCTACACAAGATAGATTATGTTGAAGGTTTGAAAATTTAGCCCCCAGAACTCTAGTTGGGGTACCACTGTGGAGGCCTAGATAGCCAAAACATGAACTTTGGGTTTGGAGGGGTAAGGATGCTAAAAATTAGAAGGGGCACTACCAGCCTCCTGCTGTTCCACATAGATTATACCCTGCACCTGAACAGAACAGCATCCTTTAATATCATTTCTGTGAGCAAAATCACCTTCTTAGTGCCCGGGCAGAGAGAGGCCAGTCTCCTCACGCTTGGTTTCTAATGTCCCAAAGACTTTTTCTTCAGAAGCCCGCAGAGGAAGTTCATCTTAGTGTTTCTCATCTTGGAAATCCTTCTGCATTTCTTTCTGAGGCCCTTAGTTTGCATTTCCTAGAAACTTGTGGCTGATAAATTCCAGTGGTTGTGGACTGAGTTACTAAGCCAAAGGAGCCAATTCTAACTCCTGGCAAAGGAGGCAGTGCAGCATCCATGCTCCTGACTGCTGGACCCCAGCCATTAGGCCTGGAAAAACAGCCCAGAACCCAGGGGAACAGGAGGCTGACTCACTGGATCTGTCCTCTGCCATCAGCTATGGGACTGCCACCTCGGCTCCCAGCCCTGCCAGGACTGATCGACAATGTCGCCCCTAGACCATGGCCTACTACAACTAATGGAAGGGAAGGATGAGGTCTAAACACAACCACAAATTACAAACTTCTACTGACTGAGACCCAGAGGGATTAGTGCCTTTGCCAGAACATGGTACAGGGGACAGATGGTCAACAGTGGGAGGTAGGATATGGGGGTGTTGGCCAAGCTCTGCCATAAGCTGGGTCGTTCTGGGCAAAACACCTAACTTGTGTGCCTTGGCTTTTTTGCTATTAGAGTGTGGGAAACAGTTGTGATGAAATATTGTCTGTTTCCACCTAACCCTCAAGTTTTCAAGAGTACAAGATTCAAGTATTAGGGAATTTGAAAAACTGAAGTAATCATACAGCTATCAAAGATTTAAAATGACAGCCTAAAACATGAGGATTACTCATAGGCTAAATAATGGGAAATTGGTGAAATAAATCAGATGTAACAGCATGTCACCTTTAAAAACGGATCACTGGAGAATGTGTCAACCGGCACAACCATTTTGGAAATGATTTTGGAGGATAATTTAATGTGTTCATTTTCTTTGACCCAGCATGTCTACTGCCAAACATTTATCCAGAAGATCACTTTAGCTTGTAAACAAAATTTTGAGGATATTCACTGCAATGTTGAATGAGGAGTTTTTTTTTTTTTTTTTTTTTAAAAAAAAATAGATGCCTACAGATGGGGCATTGGTTGAACATTCTTGTTCATCCATCAGTGGATAGGACCCAACTGTGAAAAAATGACAATGTAACTCTATGTCTGCCTTTACAGGGATATCTGAGACTGAAAACTAAAGGATCGGGCCTTGGAGTGCACGTGCATGCGCGCACACACACACACACACAGAGAGAGAGACAATACTTGGAAATGTGCACAAGGAACAGTTCAAAATGTAAAGATAAAAGCAGAATAAGAGGCAAACCACAATTACAGAAGATACCAAGATGACACTGATCAAGATCAAAATGAATAGAGGCTTCCCCAGTGGTGCAAGGGGTTAAGACGCAAGCTATGAAGCTGTCTGCAGCCTCTGCAGCATGAGTTCGATCCCCAGCCAGCCCGGAAGTAATTCACATGGCATAGCAGACCTCTCCTGACTCACCTGCTATCTAGTCAGTCAACCCACCTGTTCTGTTCCCCACTCTGTCTCTGGTGAATCCTCTCACCCGTCCCCCCCCCACACCTCCGGCCTGTACCCCAGTTCTTGTATGCATAAATAAATGAATCTTAAAAAAAAATCAAAAAAAAGATCAAAATGAATAGAAGGAAATCATGTCTAACATTCATTTCATGTTCATTTCTTTTTTCATTGTTGACCAAGCCCACACTCTGATATAAAAAAAAAAAAAAAAAAGGTAAGATATTGTTATTTTTTTACTGCTGGATCCTGAGCAAGTGTTTCCTCCACAAGATGGCCACTTGTAATTAACACAGAAGACTCCACCAGCCACCTTGCCAGGTGCTCTGCTGGCCATGACTGACCAGGTTTTGATTTCTAGAGGGTTGCTAATCCAGTTCTAGTCTAACGGCGTAAGATGTTCCAGAACCTTCTATAATGATGGAGAAGCCCTATGCACTTGGCCCTGAAAAGGGGAGGCTGCTGAGCAGTCCCATGGCTGGAGGGAGGTGACATTCCTAGGGTAGAGAACCTTCTTTCGTCCTCTCATCTTCAGAAGTGTACTAAACACCAGCACTATGCTGGGTGCTGGGGTGATAGCAGAAAACAGAAAGGCCTTGTTTGTAGAAGGTGTTCCTTCCATGAGAGCTGAGTAAGGGGTCGGGTAGAGGGACATGGTCCCCCTCTTTGGATGACAGAACATTTGAAACTATTGGCGGGGCAGCTCCAGAAACTTCCCCAGTTTCCAAGCAGGGCATTAGGGGCCCCACAGCTCATGGGTGACACAGCTCATAGGTGAAAGCAGGAACAGCAGGCCCTCCAAAACCCATGTCTGGATGTCACCATTTAGACAAAAAGCACAGAGAGTAGAAATTTCCAGTGACAGTATTAAAAGGTTAGAAAACCAAATGGACGGGCTTCCCCGGTGGCGCAGCGGTTGAGCGCTGGGTTGCGAAGCTGCCCGCAGCCTCTGCGGCGCCGGTTCGATCCCCGGCTGCTCCCCGGCCACCGGAGGAGGGTCCCGTATGGCGCGCAGACCTCTCCTGCCGCCCGCTGCTCCCCTCAGCAGTGTACTTCGGTCCTTCTGCCTGCTCTGCTCCCCGCTCTGGCTCTGGTGAATTCTCTCACCCTACCGCGCTTCTGACTGTACCCAGTGCTTGTATAAACAAACAAACAAACAAATAAATAAATAAAACATGCCTCTATTTTAAAAAAAAAAAAAAACCAAATTGACAATTCCATTTCAAAAAAGGCTCTTTTTCTCTCTTTCCCTTTCCCCCAAATGTATGGGAGTAAACAATAGATTAGTCAGTGTAGACCATGGACTCTCATGGGATGATCAGCCTAACCTAATTTTCTGGAAGATACTAGAAGATACACAGTGAGGCAGGCCTAGAGAACTGACAGAGGAATTTGGATGCTTTAATTTAGGGGGTAGGGATTGGATTCAGTCCTCACAGCACAACCATCAATCTGGGGCAGACCAATCAGGAACATGGGGGTATTCAGGACATTTCATGGTGAGGTTCCCCTGCCCTGCCCCAGCCCTTGATCTGCTGCTCATGACCGTGAGCCTCAAACAAGTGATTTTTGGTTCCCTGGTTGGTAAGATGGGGATAACAACAACTTCCTCAATGATTTGGGACGAAAATTATATGACGTGATCATGTCATTCCAGAAAACACAGCACTGGGGCAGGGTCAACCAAACGGTAGCTGCAGTTACAGGTTTCCCCCACTCTCTGAAAGTAGAACTTCTTATTTGGTATGATTTGGTAGGTTACTTTTGGGGTCTGGAAATGCTATTCCCACTTATATGGAATTTTTTTGCGCATTCCCAGGCCCCCCAAATTACCTACCAAATAGTAACATTCTCTTTTCGGATAGTGGGGGAAACCTGTTTAACTTCTCTGCTTATTGACGTGCCACAAGGAGGATGAGAAGGGAAGTTCTCTAACAGTGGCTATTTGTAAGTGGATATCAGAGCTGGGAATGGAAGTGGCAGCCATGGGTTTCATAAAGCTGTACACATTTGTAGGGGTCTGGGTGGTGCTCTGGGGGAGATTCACACAGTTACAACTGGCTGCTGGCCAGTTCCCAACAGCCACCTGCAGGCTGCAAACACCAAGTTGGTACAGGCCTGACTTTATAAAAACAGAATATACCCAGATCCAGGGTGAAACAAAGATCATTCTACAGGAATGCTGCATTAAGCCAAAAAGGGAACACAATTCAGGGGGTTCAGACAGAGAGTTAGAGCTAGGAATCATGATCAGATACCATCACAGAGGGATTCTCCCAAAAGAGATATTTTTTATCACCAAACATTCTCAAGGGGTGCACAGCCAACTGGCATGGGGTGGGGGGTAATGCTTTTTAAAGAGTTCCACTGACAAATCCTTCCGGGAATGACTCATCCCGCTCCAACTCACCTGCCTTGTAATGTGGATTTCCCACCTGCCATTCCCACGGAGGGCTTTCTTTGATGTGCTGCTGACCACACTCAGTGGCAGGCCAGCCAACTCTCACTACAAAGCCAGGACAGGCCTGGGAACCACAGGCTGGCTCGGGGAGCTGCAAGGGCGACAGAGGGGCTCCAGAAAGTGCCTCTGATGAAAGGCTGAGAGGAGCCAGGATGATTCCACAGAAGGCAGGCCGCCAGGCATATAGCAACATGCTGCAGCTTTATGATTCTCTGTCACTCAGAGAACAGAAACTTGTTCCACTGGGAACAAAGAACAGGGCCTTCAGATGTAGCCTGGTGGATACAGGCTGGCAGGAAGGGCAGATTTCCTGACTGAGGACTGGAGCACGGATTTCAGCTGTTCCTGTCTCGAGGATGGGTTAGATATCTACTCTTGGTCCCTCTCTTTCTGTCCTCAGACGTCACTTCTAATTCTCCAACATCCAATAGATAGATAAATTCAACTAAACCGCCTTGATTTCACAAGGTTTCCTTTGAAAAGTTTGTCTGAATATGCTAGAAACAAAACCATCTGTCCCCACGAGAAACCCTGGAAGTGTGTTCAGAGCAGGCTTATTGTTCATAATAACCCAAATCTGTGAACAACCAAAGGCACATCCACAAGGAAATGCATAGACAGTCTGAGTCTCTTCACAGGATAAAAAACTACTCAGCAATGAAGGAACTACAGGCACACCCCACAGCATGGGTGGATCTCCTGAGCAAAAAGAACATAGACATAAAATCCATACTGTATGATTCTATTTATATGAAGCTCCAGGGAAGGCCATGCTAATCTATGGACAGAGAAATCAGGATGGCTGCCTTGGGGGGGTAAGGTGAGGAAGTGGCAACAAAGAACTTTTCTGGAATGTTCTGGAAGACATAGAAATGTTCTATTTCTTGACTTGGGTGATAGGTACACAGGTATATACCACTGTCAAAACTCTAATTTGAATGCTTGAGATCCATGTACTTGGTTGTATCTAATATTGATACCAATAAAAATACAGAAGAAATCATAAACTTGGGCTCTACGACACTGGGAAAGTTATTTAAACTCTCTGGGTCTCTGTTTTTTCATCTATAATAACACTGACCTCATAGCGGTGTCCGGAAGATGAAACAAGTTAATACGAGCACAGGTAGGAAGTATTCAATTAAGCCTTAGCTGTTATTATAAGAGCTTATTAGCCTTTCTCTACTCCCAACCAGCAGGGAGAGCGCATTAAAAACACTAACACCTCACTCATGGATGCTGTGTCAATTGTTCAGGGACTTCTGTGGCTCCCCCCTCCAGTTACATCATTCCTGCCCTATTGTTCTGGCCTGGGCAGTGTCCCCTCCAAATTATATGCCAAGTCCTAAGTCTCAAAACCTCAGAATGTGGTTGCATGTGGAGCAGGGTCTTGAAAGAGGTCATCAACATTAAGAGAGGCCACTGGGTGGCCCTAACCCCAGGTGACTGGTGTCCTTGTAAGAAAAGGAGATTTCGATGCAAACTGGTGTAAAGACCAGGGAGAAGACAGCCATCCGCAACCCTGCCACACCCTGGGTTCAGACTGCTGGCCCCCAGAACTACAGGACTGAATGTTGGCCACGACGCCCAGTGTGTGGGCCGAGTGGACTAATGCAACCATCTTGTTTCTGCGGGATCCTCCCCGAGCCCCAGGACCACACTTACTGCTGCTCTTGGTGTAGAGCCGGAGGAGCTCGGCCAGGCCACACTTCTTCACCAGGGCTGTGCTACTCAGGTTCTCCTGATCCAGGATCTTGAGAAAGTCCTCCAGCTCTGTCAGCAGCTGCTCCAGGGCTGGGACAGAAAACAGACAAGCCTTATAGCAGCTGCCTTTTCTCCAAAGGCCCAGTGCAGATACACTCCCAGCTCCTGGAGCTACCCACTGATCCTGATTCCCAAAGGAGGAGTTTGGGAGTGGCCTGGCAACATGTAGGGGTGCCCAGCCAAAATGTGGATTCCCAGTGCAAGGAAAACATGGGTTTTGTGGAGGGACAGTGGAAGGCAGTCCAACTCAGTCTACCCAGTCAGAAAGAGTCTGGAAACTGAATTTTCTCCCTTGAGAAAGGTCACTCATAAACAGCTTGGGGTCTGGATAACGTGAACCTACAACTATCAGAAGAGACCTGGTGGTTAATCCTTGCCCCAAAGATGGTGAATAGTCACTCCAAGGAGATGAAACGGGGATTATGTTTTCTCTGTAGAAATAGACACGACCCATCCAAAACCATGCTTGGGCAAACAAAAGCCTCCCATGATGGAGTCACTTCAACTGTCACCAAATCCCAAACTTATTAAGGGGTCCAGTGCCATAGATCCAGAGGTCAAATGATGGATAAGAGCCCTGGCAGAGGCATCGCCATCACAACTGCTGTTACTGCGAGTGACCAAGACCTCTGCTCGAACACGGCACTGCTTTTGCCAATGGGGCCCTCCTCTGGCCCTCCCCACCCGGCTGGCTCTTCAGAATCTGCTCCTCAGGTAGCAGTTCCTTGGGGGTTGTAAACACCCCTTTCCAATCCTGGTTGCACTGGAATCATCTGGACAGCTTCTAAAACTCCTGATGCCCACAAAGATGGTCCTGAATTTCTAGGAGTGAAACCCAGGAACCAGTCATCATTAAACCTTTTCAAGTGGTTCCAGTATGTGGCCAACACTAAGAACCAGTGGAAACCAGTAAGAGGCCACGCTGGAGACTGTGCCCACACAGCAGCCACGAGCTCCTGACAGAGCCTGTGTCACCTGCCATGGGAACCAGGGCAGCGATGCAAGCTCACCGGGCTGTTTCCTTATCTGTCAAGTGGAGAAGACCCAGCCCGTCTCCTGAGGTTGTTGCAAAGAATGAATCTGTGAAGCTCTTCTTGACTGAGCTTATGAATCTCAACAGTAGCCAGAGTGTGGTGATCTTCTCATCCTGGTTGTTTAGGGTAGTTCTACTTTGAACCTTGAGACCACTATAGTGCTTTCTAGAGCGTCTGCACCAATTTCCTTTCCCTAGTGGAGTAGAAATAACACTTGTTATTTCTCATCTTTTTGAGGACAGCCATTCTAAAGAGGCAAGAGGGGGTACCTCACTGTCGTGTTGATTTGTATTTCCCTGATGAGTAGTGAGTCTGAGCACCTTTTCAAAGGCTAAGCAGAGCTTGCCAACTTTTAGCAAGGTCATCTAGCTGGATGTCTTCTTTAGAGAGATGTCTATGCAGATCTTTTGCCCATTTTTTTATCAGATTGTATTTCTGCTACAGAATTGCATGAGCCCTTTGTTTTAGATAAAACCCCCTATCAGATATGATTTCCAAATTAGTATCTCCTATTCTGTAGGTTGCCTTTCACTCAGTGATGGTTTTCTTTGCTGTGTAAGACATCCTGATTTTTCGTCTCACCCTGTGGCATCATCAGTTATTTATTTCTCCACCAGTAGTATCCTCTTTTAGTTCCCCTTTACAGAAAAAAAAAAAGAAGGGAAAAAGGAGGGTCACGTCCTCAGAGTAGCCTTCCCTTGTCCAAAACACATGTTTCTTTTTATTCTCTATCTCAACATCTAATTTCTGCCTTCATAGCCCTAATCACAATTTATTAATAACATTTTATAATAGGGTGGGAATTGTATGGGGAATATAACCAAAATGAAAATGCATACATTATGCAAAAATGAAAAATGATGTAAGAATTATATAATTCATAAAAAGAACATTTTAAAATAAAATCTATAAATGAGCAAATCAACAATGAAGAAAGAAATCGTTTTATTTATCCTGCTCATTTTTAAATTGTATGTTTGTCGCCCCCTTGTCTAGTCTGTTAGCTCAGCGAGTCAGGATTGTACCTGGCTTATATCTTTGGCTCTATGTGTTGAATGAATGTTTGTGGAATAAATGAGGGAACTAACTTGTTCAACATCTACTAGTTCGCAACCATTCTAAGCAGTAAGCATCATCATGCCCATTTTGCTGATGTGGGCCTGGTGGCTCGGCAAAGGCCCATAAGGTCCCCCCATGGCCCATGGCAAGGGGCTGGTTTCCCGTTTGCCTCCAAGGCCGAGCTCTTGGCAACACGCCACCAATACCTCTGCGTAGCCTTCATCCTGCATCCTCTGAAGGCCTGGCTCCCCAGCCCAACAGCCCTAACTCCCTCTTTAGAAGAAGCAGCCCTTGCGCACTCCTGCTCCAAGACAGAGAGCCCAGTAGCCTGTTTCTGTTCAAACACGCCTTGGATCTTTGTGGGCCAGTGGCCTATGAGCTCCATTCCTGCAAACCCAGACTCCTTGGAATGAATGCAGCCATTGACTGGGAGGCCAGTGGAGGAAGAGGGGGGAGGCTAGGGTGTATCTGGGGAGAAAGTGGTAACAGCAGAGGGAGCGTGACTGTCAGATCAAACCCCAGGGACCGCCAGCTGGCTCAGGTGAATGGGCCACTCTCACAGGCTGGCCTGCTCGTGGAAGAATTGACCAAAGCTTAAAAAGCACAGAAACCTCCTCTCTCCGCATTCAGTGTCCTGGTAAAGGCTCAAGAGCCAAGCAGGTTCCACTGAGGTCAGTGCCAAGCGTGCTCTGCCTCCGGGAGCCAAGTGGGGGGTTGGGGGGGGGAGGGGGAGTCTAAGCAGTCTCGTGCCTCATCCCTGGGGATCGGGAAGAACACTGCCGGGGTTCCTAAGAGGCACTGGCTTTCCTCCAATTTATTTAAATCCAGTTAGACTCTTAACGGAGTGGGTTTTGAAAGGGCACCACCAAGATCTCTCAGAACCCAAAAATCAGTTCAGTAAGTTTCCCTAAACTTACTGGGTAACTGGAAAGGAGAGTGGGGACTTGTGCCTGAGCTTTGCAAGCTCGCTGAGGGGGCCAGAGCAGCACAGGCGAAGCTGTTTACAGGGCGCAGCACCAAAAGGCCAGGGGGTGCACAGGTGCCCCCACCGCAGAGTGAGGAGGCCAGACAGGAGTCCTTGGCCGGCCCAGAAGGCTTCTGGGAAGAGGCGGCAGTAGGTCAAGGGCCTTAAGAGTTGTTTTTTGTTTTGTTATGAACAGCTGTTGATGAGTTTCCTGCTGGCTGCAGGAACCCAACTGGCTGAAGAGCAGTGAGCTTAAAGTCCAACCAGGAAAACAAAGGACGATCGTGAGAGGACACTGGGCCTTGAACCGAGCTACAGTAAATAAGGAAAAATGAAGGGGCCTTGCCAGGCAATTAGATCCTGGAGCTGCCTTCCTCCTGACCCTCTGCTCTCTGCCAGGCTGTTACTGCTGCCACTTCTGAGCTAACCCAACAAAACAAAAAGAAAAAAAAGAGTAAAAACCGAAAGTGTCTCTTCACTTCCACATCCTCAGCTCTTCCCCAAAGCTCCCTGATTCCTGGAATCAGGCTTTGTGTTGTCACGTGAGCAACTATGTGCTAAGCCAAAGGGTAAAAGGAGGAGACAAAGGTGACCTAGTGGAGTCCCCAGGCTTCCTGGGGTCCACCAACTGGAAAAGGGGACTCGGTGTGGACACAGGGAAGAGAGAATTCAGGACTGTCTCCATGGATTGGGGAGGTACCCAGAAAACAGACAAACTCGGAATTACCAGGGAAAGGAATTTATAAGCTGGCCCCTGAGGAGTGCACACGAGCTCACCAGGAAGAGGCAGAGGTGTTTTGGGTAAAGGGAGTGGGATGTTCTGAAGACGTAAGAGCTGAAAGCACACAGGGTGCTATCTGAAGACCCCAGTAGCTCTGTGCATCAGGGCACACAGCATGGGGTACAGGGGCGGGTGGCTGTGAAAGGGGAGAAGGTGGGCTCTGGGGCCAGACCTGTGGAATGAGATCATGGGGGGCAGATGATAAGGGCTATTATCTATTTCCCTAAGGAGTTAGCACCTAAGCCTGAAGGCTCCAGGTAATGCCATGGGGAAGGTCTCTAATACTGTTTTCAAGTGGGCTACAGAGTGGGGAGGAGACCAGGAAGGGAGGCCAGTTACTGCAGATGGGAATGACCACCTAATCACAATGGGGGGCACCCAGGAGACTGCAGCACCCCTGACCATTTCCAATTCTCCCCACCACCCTGCAGTGCAGTGTGGAACCGGGCTCCCGAGACTGAACTGCAACCCAGCTGGGTCACCCTGCAGCTAGGCGTGGCACTGGGCTCAGACACAGGCATGCCAGGTCCAGAGCACCAGCTGCCCACTGACCACAGTCACTCCCAACTGCCAGGGAGTGTCTCTGGACCACGGCCTTTGCTCTTTGTTCCGTCCAACTCCACAAGGCAGGGGGATGGGCCACGGGTCCCACGACAGGTAGAGGCTGTGGGACTTGTGCTGCGAACGTCAGATGTGCAGCCTTGAAGAGAAGATGCCCCGGTGGCTGCAGCCTGGGGACGCCACGTGAGCCAGCAGGCCGTGGTCCCTGCCATCAGGGAACCAACGGGCCAGAAGGATGGAGAAAGCAGAGGTGCATCCCTTTCCTCTAAAGGGGCTCTGCTGGCTGAAGCGTAAGCACCAAGGCTGACAAGAGGCGGGGCTGGGAGCCAGATAGTCAAAACGCCCACATGTCACCCGCCTTCCCCAGGGGCCCCACCTCACCCTCGGAGTTCCATGCTGGTCCCTTCCTCACAAAGCTGCCCCCCGTCCAGGGGTTTTGGCAGCATTTGCCTCCCTGGGTGCCTCACTGTCAAAGCCAGTTACCCCAGTGGCCTCTGTGGGTGCCAAGTCCATCTCTGGGGTAGACCCTGGCCCATCTGGCCAAAGGTCAGCCTTCGTAGTTCGGGTCTCCCACACGGCCAAGGCCAGTGACTCCAGCCATCATCACGCCCCGAGTCCAGCTACAGACTTG